ATAAGTAATTTATAAAAAAAATACTAGCTAATAAAGCTTTTTAAAAAAGTAAAGTTAATTTTAAACTAATTATTTTAGTAGAGCTAGTCTCGCATAAACAGCCTAAGCTACTATTACTTTATCTACAGACACGCGTGGAACAATGGAACCTTTGTCAAAAGGACCCTGCAACCACCTGCCTCAAGTTCCGGGACCTGGTAGGCTCAGCTTCGGTGCTTGAGCTGGAGCTGGAGCTGCTGCGTGCGTGGCTGGGCGCTAGTTTTCTACGGAGGCGGACCATGCGGGTGTTGTGGAATCTACGACGACATATCACGGTCGGTTGCTTGGGCATCGTCTGAGATTCGTTGACGAGAGGGAATCATATCATCCAACAAGGTATGTGAGAGTCAGGGGCTTGTGTGGACGATTTCGCCAAGGAGATTCTGTCGCTTGAATATTTGATGCCACGGGTGTAACAGCGAATCGCGTTAATTAGAGGAGAGTCAAAGCTCTTGGACAACCTATTTTCTTCCTCCAGCCCCCAGCACCCCATTCATTGGAGCTGCTTGTAGAAAAACGTCGCATCCTTCAACTCTCCTGTCGGACTCATGCCATACCCAGGCACCCTGCCCAACTCGACATAACCAAACTTTCTATAAACCGCCTCCGCGGCACTATTCGTCTCCGCGTCAAGCAACTACACCCCACATCCCCAAAGTCAGCAATGGACAACACCCTCTACACACACATCTCACGGCTTCGCACCGCGCAGCTCGACAGAAACTCACCAATATACTTCTCCCCATATTCGCCGCCCCATTCTCCAAGGCCTCCATCAAGGCCCTCGCGCCCCCTCTCCCCCTGAAGTTCTTGTGAACGAACAACTTCTCCACATATCCCCTGAATGCACCCGTTTCCGAATACGGCGTGGACAGCATGACCACGCCCATGACATCAGGGCCCTTAGGTCTCCCGCTGGCATCAATCTCCTTGACGAGAATCCAAATCAGCCTCTTGCCGTCGTTGACCTCGGCGATGCGTTCTTTCCACCACGTCAACAGCTTTTCGTGTGACAAGGGCGGCAGGAATGTGGCCATGGTGCGGTCCTGCGTGATGCACGAGGCGTGAATGGCGGCAATGTACGGCGTGAGGTGCGAGTGCTGCTTTGGGTTGAAGGCGAGGACGATCCCGGGTTGGGACATGGCTGGCGATCCGTGGTGCCGTGAAGCTTTGTACGTCGTTTGGAATCTGACCCTTTGGCAGGGCTGCGGAGTGAATGACTATGCGCTTGGGAAACTCCAAGATGTGTGGGTGGTCCGTCTTTGGTGGAAATTTTTTTTGCATCACAAGCCCAGTCCCGGACGAGTGTTTGTCGGCAGAGGCTTTTTCTGCCCGGTCCGGGTTATGCCTATAGATATGAGTGCGACTGCGAGGCAAATTATATGAATACGCTTGAAAGCAAATAAGACATCTGCATCAGCAGGGCGCGATGCCCTCTCATGTGATGGCAACCCAAGGGCAAACGCAGACGCCCACTTACCAAACCGATATTCATCCGCACACGTCGAATGCAATCCCGACAGCCAACAAAACAGTACGAGATGATGTCTCAAATGTCAAATTCTACGGACCCGAGATGGCGTAAAGTTAGTGCGTATGGTAATGCAAGTTGTGTCGAAAGGCGATTGAGCATGCGGTGTTTGCCAACATTAAAACTGGATGGACTGACAACCGCATTCGCCTGGGGTTCTATCGGTGGCGCTAATTGGCTGCGCAGGAGCAGGAGTGGATGTCCGTGCAACGCACCCTGTACAAGCGAGTAGCGGCATCAACCAAAAGAAAATGTGATAGTCGAGACGGCTTCATACATGTACACTCATGTCAGAGCGCGCTAGTCTGTCAAAATTCGAGCCTCGGTTAATATTTGAAACACGCAAAGAGAAACGCATCGTACTTCTATGAATGCTGTATACACATAAGAGCCCACCCAGGGATAATCCCAAAACTCCGTTACCCGCTCAAAAACACATCCCCAAGAATCAAACTCTGGCAAGTAGACACAGGGGTGCTGAATAGAGTCCCAGCAAGTCAAGCGTTAGCCAAACGCGCAAGTAGACTTCAACTGAAGAAATATCCTCTCCTCTCCGTCGCAATGCTTGAAGAATTCTCGCACCGGTGCCACGCGCCAGTATAAAGTGACGTTGAGATCCAGCGATAAGCATAAGCTTGTCGCAAAAGCCCGTGACAGCTCCTCCTCTTACGCTCCTGGGCTTTCCATGTTGAAAACTCCGTTGGTAAATGATACTGGTGCAAGCTGCTTTCCTTTCCAAAATAATCCGCACTGGGCAAGGTATTTTGCTCGCGGCTAATCAGCTTTTTGGTTGCTGTTGCCATTCATACCTAATAGACCTTCCTTGAGTTGATTGATACCCATGGCATCATCCAGTCTGAAGTGTCCACCCCGAGCACGACGAGAACGACCACGTAGCCATGACAGAGTACCAAATGCCATACCGAGAACGCAGCCCATAGACAGGTATGGGTGCTCAACGAAGGCGACCTTGATATCAAAGAAGATCTTCTCAATCGTAGACACGGTAAGCTTGTACTTAATGACGTGCGGACCATACACAATCTTGTCAAGTGTCTCCATGATTGAGGTACGGCTAACCATAATGTAGTTACCCGTTACCGTTTGGTCCCAGTACCGACGGTTCTGTAGCATCGTTAGTATTGGAAGATTACTGCCATGCGATATTTTACTAATGAGTAACTTACGTCTTCGTCGTTAATGATAATCTTCTCACCATCCTTGACGTCAATGCCGTAGGTTTGTCGGATCCAACGTTGCCAGTATACACCGTCAACCCAAGCAAAAGTCACTTCCTTGCGACCAGAATTGTTCATATCAACACGAATCCCCTTGGCGGCTCGCAAAGCGCGCTGATCCCCTCGATCTTCGGCCTCTTCGATTCTCATTTGTTTAGAGTCCCGCAACTTCTTACGTTCGAGTTGAAACTCCTGAATTTGTCTGTCCATCCACTCGTTTGCCGCGCTCTTCATTTCGCGAAGGGAACTAGAAAACGAATCCTTATCCACATGACTCAAAATACCGAGAACCACAAGTTTGCCATTGAAAATCTGGCGAGCATTTGAAGGAGTCAACTCTGGCACTAGGGGTAGCCAAACAGACCTCATCCAGTTTAAGACTTCGTTCTTATCTCGCATTTCATTGGGTGTGATTGGTGGATAGTAGGTTGGCCTGCCTTCTCGTGAAACCAGTAGCCTAGGCCAGGTTGTGATCTTGAAGCGTTCATACAGTGTGGGATCATTGGTCTTGACTAGTTTAGCGTGACCGATGAGACTCAGCGGGATCATTTCCAGGGCTCTGAAATCCTCATTCGTCGTGGCATGATCGTAAAAGTACATAAATATGACGTCCTCGGTCTCCTCCATTGCCTTGAATGATGTCGCATTAACATCGGGAATGCCGCTGGCGAGGTCGACTGCCTTGTCAGCAAATTGTACAAAGTCGCCCAGGCCACGAAGACCCGAGTACTCCGCTCTCTCGCCGCCCTTGAAGAAACTAATCGTCGGGTATGCCGTGGCATGAACGTCCTTACAGAGCCTAGACTCCTTGTCGCAGTTGACTTCGCCAATATTCAACCTGCCTCGCATTGTCTTGGCAAGTTGCTCCCAAGTAGGGCCCATTGCCTTGCAATGGGGACACCAAGGGGCATAGAATTTGATGAACCAAGCGTCCTGGGTCTGGGTCACTAACTTCTGGAAGCTTTCGGCCGTGAAAGGAATTGATACACCCTCAGGGTTAGGCGTGACAGTTGGTTTTTTAGGCTTTCTCTCCTTTTCTAATTCTCCAGCTGTGGGAACCTTCCAGTCATTTCCCAATGGCTTCTTGGAAGGCTTGCCATCCTCATCCTTCTTGGCGTCCTCATTCTTCTTGGGCTCCTCGTTCTTCTTAGGCTCCTCATTCTTCTTGGGCTCTTCATCCTTCTTTACATCATCCTCAGTAGTGGTTGTAGGTTTCTTTGGGGACTCTGTGGCACCTGGTTCAGGCAAGTCTATAGTCTTGGGCCGGGAACCAGGATGTTCTTTTTCGAGTCCCCTTTCAATCAAATTGTGAACAACGGTTATACCCTTGGCGCCCTGAACCCGATCAAACGCTGCGCCGTTTTCGAACAGAACTGTCGTTGGGAATGCCGCAACATCGTGCTCGCTGCACAGATCTGCATAAACTGTGCAGTCTATCACACCGAATCTGAAGCCGTAGTAGCTCTCGAAAGTTGAATCGTCTTTAGGTTTCGATGTGTAATAGAACTCATACAGGGTCTGGAATGTTGGGGCGAATGCCATACAGTGTCCGCACCACGGGCTAAACATTTAGTCAGTTCATGATAATTAAAAATGAAGAGCAACACGTTGCGTCGTACCTGAAGTGCTTGACTAGAAGCCATTTGCTCTTTTTGACCTCATCGGCCCAATTTGATGGTGTCAGCTCAACCAGCGGTGGAACGGTCTGGTTATTGAATATGGTACTCTGAACAGCATCCTTTTCTGTTTCCGAGGCTCCAGACGCTTCCGCCCCGACCAGAGTCAGCGCGCTGGCCAGGAGCGAAAGGATGCTCGATCTCATGTGTGGCGACGCGATGCACTTCGCCAAGTGCGGATCCTATTTCGGGGACAGAAGACAATCCGGGAAATCAGAGGGAGAGGGAACTGGCAACGGGAGGCAAAAAGTCGAATACTAACGTCGTCACTCGAACCTGGAATAGTATAAGTGATGCGACGTTGGGGACGGTTGATTCGGTGACCCAGAGCAGAATGAATTTTGAAGGCGATGCGAGGACTGGAAATTGGTGGATTTGTCGTAATAAAATAGAAATGAATGAAGGCACCTGAGGTGTGATCGCTTCCAGGCGAAACCCCAATGCCACTAGAGAAATGTCGATGGGAAAACAGACGACAGTTGGCGCGGCAGAGGCGAAACGGACGGGAAAAGGGTCAACGTCAATGTGTCAGGAGTCATTTGCCAAACAGTCCATGCCATGCCACATAGGTGGCCTAAACGCTGCAAACGAAAAGCTGTATCAGCCACATACCTGCACCGCCACAGAACGGGGTGCTTCGCGCCCCGCTTCCTGGCTGTGAACGGATCTGCGAACTGAAGGCTCCATTATTGAATTACAGGGATGTTGCACCTCCAAATGGAAAGAATCCTGCCTTCCCATCTTGTTCACCATTGCAAGACAGTGGCAGGTCGCCGCGTATCACGCACCCAGGACTCACAAACCGCAGCGTAGACTTTTTCGTGTCTAACTAGCGGATTTCGTCATCTCGCATTATTTGTCCAATGATACAACGAGATACGGAGTAGATGCTACTGCATCCGCGCAAAGGATTGAAACGTGTTAATAACTATAAGTCTCCGTCTTTTCCAAGAGTCATCAAAACATGTGTCAAGGTACCCCGCACTACGCTTTGAATATATTTCGGTGGCCTATCATTGACATTTCTCACATTTATTACACCTGTCGGTCTGCTTCATGACTTCAGCTGTCCTTGGCCAAAGCCCGACGACCGTGATGGAGCGACATCAAAAGCGGCAGCGAGTGCATGATTTGGAGCAAAATGATGCGCCTACATCACTGTCGGCTCCCATTAGCCCTCCTCGGAAGAGTCAGCGTCGTGAATCGGAGCGGCTGGCCTCACCGTGGCAATTAACCTGGATACGGGATCTTCCCGAGGAACTCAACTACGACGCTGTCACCTTGAAGGATCTTCTTGGCGATCCACTCATCAGCGATTGCTGGGAGTTCAACTACCTGCACGACGTTCCATTCTTGATGGACGCTTTTGACCAGGATACAAGACACCTTGTAAATGTGCACGTTGTCCACGGATTCTGGAAAAGAGATGATCCACATCGGTTGGCGCTCACGGTAAGGATTGCTTCCATCACGCTAAAGAATTCCCAGAAGATTATCTGTCTTGGATCCTAATACAGTAACATAGGCGGAATCGTCTGGATTTGATAATGTGAAACTCCATGTGGCTCCGATGCCGGAAATGTTTGGCACTCATCACTCGAAAATGATGGTACTCTTCCGCCACGACAACACTGCAGAGATTATTATTCACACAGCCAATATGATACCAAAGGACTGGACGAATATGACGAATGCCGTCTGGAGGACCCCCCGATTATCTCAGTTGCCACCAGGGTTTAGGCAACTGCAAGAGTATTGCGACCTGCCAATCGGCAGCGGCGAGAGATTCAAGGCCGATCTCCTCAATTATTTAAAGTCATATGACAGTCGAAAACTCACATGCCGAACACTGATAGATCGACTTGTTCAATATGATTTCTCCAGCGTCAAAGGTGCGCTTATAGCCAGTGTCCCTGGAAAACATGACATACATGACCTGTCCGGAACGGCGTATGGCTGGTCTGGTGTAAAGAGGTACCTGAGTTCAGTTCCGTGCAAAGAAGGTAGTTCAGAAATTGTGTCACAAGTATCTTCTATTGCAACACTAGGGGCCAAAGATACTTGGCTCCAGAAAACACTTTTCGACTCTCTTGCAACAAGCAAGACGAAGTCCTTACAACGACCAAAGTTTAGCATCGTATTTCCCACAGCAGATGAAATAAGACAGTCTCTAGATGGTTATGCATCTGGCGCCTCGATTCATACTAAAATTCAGTCATCTCAACAAGCTCAGCAACTGGGTTATCTACGGCGCATCTTACATCACTGGGCCAACGACAGTCCAGACGGCATTGGTGAGTCTTGTTCGCCTTGGCTTGTCCGCTCTTACCAAATGAAGACTTTTTGTTTTTTTGTCTGACTTGGGACAGCCTCGTCACCTGAAATCAAAACTAGAAACGGTGGACGAGACAGGGCAGCTCCACACATTAAGACTTATATTCGCTATAACGAGGAGGGTTCGATTGACTGGGCCATGCTTACATCTGCCAACATTTCAAAACAGGCATGGGGAGAGGCCTCGAGGCCGTCGGGTGAGCTGAGAGTGGCATCTTGGGAGATTGGCGTTCTGGTATGGCCTGGTCTAGTCGGCCAGGATGTTTCAATGGTCGGGACCTTTCAGTCTGATGTGCCGAAGAAACCAAAAGAACAAGCTAGCTCCAAAGCTGATGCTAGCGGCGTCTTGATGGGAGTCAGGATACCTTATAGCCTACCACTACAACGGTACGGCGCGGAAGAAGTGCCATGGGTCGCAACAATGCAGCACAGCGAACCGGATCGTTTCGGTCGGCAATGGATGGAATGATTCTCCGAAGAAGCTTATTGTGTATTCCGGGTAGGATGTGGCTGATTGTGACCTTGCCAATTTGATGCATGTTGACATATCGGGCGACATGGGCTGCAGAAAAACAATGCCTAGCACAAACAACGTATGTACGTACTGCAATGCGCATATTCCGCCCAGTGTCACCAGATGCAATCGACGCCGGTGTAACCTCTCACCAGAGCCTCAACGAGGAGGCCCTCGATTGTCACACCAGCGAGTCAGCTACTCAGCCTACTCTCCCGAATTTGACAGTGGCAGCACTCAGTACGATGAATGTCTTACATAGAGTACTCCGTACATGAAGTCAAGGATTGGTTGTTGAACAAATGGCAAGCGGGATTGGTCCGACCTATGTCGAAGCGATGGCCAATGGCGGCGACGTACTCGGAACCGGCTGGAAATATCGGGCTAGGCGTGTCTCGTACGCTTTTTGTCCTCGTGAGTGGCGTTGACGGTTGTGTGACTGCCCAAGGCAACCACCTTGGGTACTTGCTAGCGGCGCGCAGACCTGTAACTATGAGGATATCAAAAGTTTGGGTCTGGTCATTAGACCTGGCCGTCCCACTTTTGATGACAGCCGAAGCCAACCTGGACTTCAATGTTGGACATTACTCCAAGACCCGCCTATTCCTCTTTGGAATGACGGGTCCATGACCCCGTCCAAAGTTGGGTCATCGTGGGATTTTTAGTTTTTATTTTCTTCCTTCCTCAACCACACCACGTGCCTACCGTGCTCAGTATCATCACTTCTCTGGCACGTTGGAGAGAGAGGAACTACAGGCTTGTACTGTTATCTGCTTGTCATTGGCCCCTTCGAATATGTTTTGTTAGGGAAATTGCTGCTTTTTCGCACCTCCATATGTTCCATGACAACAGACAGTAGACTGTGTCGTCGCATAGCATTGCTTTGCCATTCACGCATCGCCTAACTTCTGCCTCTTCCCGCCAGCCAGGGCTGGTCCAAATAGCCTCGCTCCTCGTCGCAGAACGTCTCTTTCTACCTTTCGAGTACCCTCGGGCCAGTCAAAATGGAGCATGGCAGAAGCATGGGAACCTCGCCCAGTCGCCGCGATGTGTTGTCAAGTTCAGCCCAGCAGAGGTTTCTGTCTAGCTCCCCATTAGCTGGACGATTTCTTGCAGAAGACATAGCCGCTTGTTCCGACGACGACTATGACGACACCGTCATCGAGGACCAAGGGGAAGCAGAACGTCCCAGTCACCTCATGTATCGCCGCCCCAGCGGCGTTGCCTATGGCGGAACAAGACCAGTTTTCAATGCGCAGCCCATTGACGAGCCCATCCTGACGCCCATGGAGAGAAGGCAGTCTCGCCATGCTGAAAGAAGTCTCCTGCGAGACAACCATGTGCTGCCCCCCAAGCACGCAAACCAGAAACAGAGGCCATCCTTTGCCCGTCGTTTGTACAACAGACTCTTCAGCACAAAGCTCCCCCGAGAGGCCGTCGACGAGGAATCGCCCGAATACCCGCCCACAGAAACCTCGCCGCTCCTGAATGGACATGGACATGGTCAGGGCGTGGGCTCCGATGCCGGGTCCGGGTCCGGGTCAGCAGATGATGGATTGGAGCAACAGTGGGAAGAAGCCATTGCGTCTGGCCGACTGCAAACGACGTGGCAGAGAGAGACAAAGACGATTGTGGCCTATTCTTGGCCACTCATTATCACTTTTGCCTTGCAATATTCTATTAATGTGACGAGTATTTTTGCCGTGGGCAGAATTGGCAGGGTTGAGCTCGGTGCTGTTTCATGTAAGTCATCTTATCCATGGCGCTCCATATGAACAGGATAGGAATGCAAAAAAAGACATCCCAGAAAGACTAACGCCGACGCCATAGTGGCCAACATGTCACAAGCAATCAGTTGCCTCGCCCCCTTCCAAGGCTTAGCAACAAGTCTGGACACACTCTGCGCCCAAGCGTACGGTTCAGGCCACAAGCACCTGGTCGGGTTACAATGCCAGCGCATGGCATGCTTTCTCATGTTCATGTCACTCCCGGTCGCTATCCTCTGGCTATTCGCCGACAGAATCCTCGTCCACGTCGTCCCTGACGCAGAAACCGCCCGTCTGGCTGCTCTGTATCTCAAAGTCATGATTGCCAGCATCCCCGGCATCATCCTCTTCGAAGTCGGCAAGCGATTCACCCAGGCGCAGGGCCTTTTCCGGGCAACTACTTACGTGCTCCTTGTTGCGGCCCCCATCAACATCTTTATCAATTGGCTTCTTGTCTGGAGACTGGGTCTCGGTTTCGTCGGCGCCCCAATTGCCGTCGCCATCACGGAGAGCTTATTGCCAATCCTTCTCCTCTTGTACATCGTCTTTGTTGATGGCAGGCAGTGCTGGGGCGGCTTCAGCAAGCGCATCTTCTCCAACTGGTGGATCATGATTAAGCTTGCTCTCCCTGGCATGATCATGGTCGAGGCGGAATGGTTCGCCTTTGAGATTATGACTCTCTTGGCTGGCCAGCTCGGCACCGAGTACCTCGCTGCGCAGAGCGTCCTTGTCACCCTATCCAGTATCTCTTACCAGATGCCGTTTCCCATGTCCATCGCTGCGTCTACACGAGTGGCAAACCTCATGGGCGCAGGGCTTGTGGATGCCGCCAAAATAGCTGGCAAAGTGGTGCGTGGAATCTCACTCCCTCCGTCTTCTGCCCTGTCTCTCATCCACCTTCTACTAACACAGAGTATATAGACCTTTGTACTGGCGAGCATTCTTGGCGCCCTCAACGTCACCATATTCTCGTCCCTCCGCTTCCACCTCCCCATCCTCTTCACCAACGACCCAGAAGTCATCAAGATTGTCGCCAGCGTCCTCCCCCTTGTGGCCGTCATGCAACTTTTTGATGGTCTCGGCGCAGGAGCTCACGGTCTCCTCCGCGGCATTGGCAAGCAATCCATTGGTGGGCCAGCTAATCTCATCTCCTACTACGTGATTTCCCTCCCCATCTCGCTTGGCCTTGCGTTCGGCTTGGGCTGGAACCTTGACGGCTTGTGGATCGGTCTTACGATCGGCTTGGCGCTGTAAGTGCTCTTTCCTGCCTTTTTTGCAAAATCCATTTTGGAAAAAAGAACTGACGTTTTGTAGGGTGTCTGTCATCGAATACACATACCTCCTCCACACAGATTGGCATAAAGCCGCCCTTGAAGCAGAGGCCCGAAATGCCGCCGGTTAAGGATCCTTAATTACTCACATCTATATCCAGTTGCTCGTATATTCTGACGACTTGTTTCTTTATTTTCCTTTTTTAACTTTTTGCAATATACCCTCCCATCCTGGTTGGATCATAAGCATACACAAAAGGTGATGATGGCATTACAAGCATTGTTTTGGAAAGAATCTCGCATGTTCGCTTGGAAGCAAGGCGTTGTATAGTAAACGGCCGCCGTGTACTGGATATGCTTCTCTTGATAGCGTGAAAAGAAACCGGCGCGGTGTTTTCTCTGCCCTCGTATGTGAAACATGCTTCCTTTGTTTTGTGCCTTTGGATGTCCGCAGTAGCCGTGGTGTCATTTTGTACAGGCCATTCACTGGAGCAAGATCAAGCCCCTGAAAAAGCATAGATGTGCTACCTGCGTATCATACAAGACCCAAGTAATTTCCGCTCTACTTTGTCCAGTTTCTGCTTAGTTGCTGAATCCCCTCTCCTTCCCCCCCCCCCCCCCCCCCCCCCCCCCCCCCCCCCCCCCCTTTTTTTTATTGACCAAAAGTTTCGGTCCATCAACACTCCTGTTCCGTGAGAAACGAAAAAAAAAAAAATACATCCAAACTCCAATTTACCATTCCGATTGAACCGCGCCAGGTCCAAGCCTAACTCAGCATAGAGTGTGTTCGGATACCCTTGGGACCGAGCTCGCTACACGACCATCAGTAAGTATACGCTGCAAAATCGACAGAACAGAAAGGGTCAAATAGTTAGAATGGCACGTACTTGTAGTCTACTCTGCTCAGGCTCATCAACCGCTGCGCCTCGATACTCTGCGCGTCCATATTAGAGTGCAGACTAAAGGCGATTCGCGCAGCGACCTGCGCGCCGAGAAACATGGCCTCCTCGAAGCCATTCTTGGTCCACTCGGTCAAGTATCCCGGCAAATTGGCCGTCTTGATGCTCGTGGGTGTCTGGCTGTGGAAATGATGGCCCGCGGGACCGGCGGCGTCGGAGCCGGCGGCGGGGGTAGCGGCTGCTCCTGTGCCGCCGGCCGCTCCAATGCCCAGGGTGCTGGCTGTGGTGGCAGCCTGGAGAAGGGGGTTCACGCCGCTCGTGGAAAGCTGGTGCGGGACGCCGGTGAATGAACCTGTGGGCGTTTGGGATCCCGTGCCTGAAGGAGTGGCCATGTTGGAGGGCAGCTCCGAGGTGAACATGGTGGCGGTGGAAGGCGAGATGAGATGACGGGCGTTGAGAGTCTGGAGGATGTTCTCCTTGAGGCCACGGAGACGGGACCCGTTGCCAACGAAGACGAGATTGTCCCAGCACTGGGGCCGCATGTACATGTCGTCGATGCCTTGGATAGTGCGGTAGATGGCGGTGACGATGCGGTCAATCTCGTGGCGGTCCGCGAAAGTGAATCGCTCGAGACCGACTTCGATGTCGCGGCGGACGCGCTTGGGCCTGTAGTCTGGGGTGTCGGGGACGGAGACGGTGTGCTCTGCTTGTGTGATGTCGGGTTTGGACTCTGCAACTGCCGGGGCCGGAACTGCTGCGGGCAAAGCGCCGTCACTGGTGAATTCAGCCGGTTTGGCTTCAGTTTCTCCGCCATTGGAGGCGGGCGCGGCGCCATCTACAGGAGGAGCAGAGTTAGATTCGCCTTCCTTGGGAGGCTGATGGCCTGGAGCGGGCTTGTCGCCTGGCGTGTCTGTTGCGCCGTTTGTACCATTTTGCTTGGGTTCGGGGGGGACCAGCTCCTGGACAATCTCCTCGAAAAAAAAGGTATTCATCTTCCTCTTGGAATTGGGGAGTCGAGCGGGTTTGGCTGGCGCAACATCGGCATCCTGAACCTTTGGTTTCCGGCCGGGTTTTCCCTTCTCCTTTTCTTTCTTGGCAAGGAACTCCTTGGTTTGACCGCTCGTCACAATCGCCGCGACATCCAAAACACCATCATCGTCGCCGTTATTGTTGTTTGCGTATTCGCCATCACCGTTATCACCACCACCTGTGGCAGAAGGCTTGACGGGCTCAGCAGGCTTGCTTGCATCTGCTGCTTGCACCGCGGCGGCGGCTGAGCCACCCGGCAGAGCTCCAGCAGGCGCCGAGTCCTCGGGCAGTTCCACGAGTCCCAGCTCGTTAGCAGCATAAGGAAGAACCTCGCAAATGGTGCTCTTCTTCAACTGCTCGGCCATGCCGTGGGTAAAGCTCTTGCCTTTCAACAATTTCATCAATCGTTGCGTGAAGACCTCCCCGCCGCTGATGGGACTGTCAGCACCCGATGATCCCACATCAATGTGATTCACAACTCGCCCATCGTGAATTGCCGTTACATCAACCTTTTCGTAGCCGATGTCAATAACGGTCATGTTGGGCCACTTGAGACCGTATTGCGTTGCGATGCCGCTGTGGATCATGCAAAGCGCAGGCGTCCGCGTCTTCTCAAAAATATACTGGGCGATGGCTTCACAATCGGGTCTCGTCCATTGGGGAGAAGCCATTAGCATAATGGGGGTGTTGTGGTAGGTCGTCGTGAGCAAGCTGTGAACATGGTCGAGGAAGGCAAGGAAGGCATCCATTTGGACGATACGTCCGCCTTGTTTCGGGCATTGTCAGTCTTCTCTTGTGCAAATTGAGTCTGTTCGACTGCATCCCCAGGTGCAGTTTTATAGCTGGGCCATCTCGGCATACCTTGGATTGGATACGTAGCACCCTTGTCCTCGTCTACATCCTCCACCCATTCCTGCTGCTCGACGCCATTCACAACCTTGGAGCGCTGAAACGTATAGTACGGCCGCCACTCGTCTCCGTCTTTGAACATCCTCGTGGGAATGCGATGCATCGGAGGCGTCAGTTCGACACATCCCAGCTGCGCCATTGTTGTCCTGCTGCCAGGGCAGATAATCAGGATCTGCTCCTCGCGCCATTTCGCTTGCGAGCTGGACATGTTGGGCAGCGAAGTTCGCCTCCGTTTCCGCGGAGTCGCGTGCCGGCTTTATGTAGGAGGCAATTGGTAGCCCCGGCGCTAGCACTCGGCGGGATCTTGGGATGCGTCGCTCGTTTTAATGTGTGGCTGCATGCGCGCTCAGCGTTGTCGCGAAGGATGCCGTGCATGAGAGAGCAACCGTTGGCGACGAGGCTTGGAGTCTTTGCGCGCCTGCAGCCTTGTGGCGGGTGGGATCTCGATATGTGGCTTGGCTAATTTGGTGTGGCGGTGCCGGGGTGTGTCCGACTCCAATTGATATCATCAGAGTAGCCATTGATCTGGGAGTCTTCGACCGACTGCAAAAGAGGCGGGAGTCTCGCGCGCGGCACATAAGGATTCTTTAACCCGCCATGTATTATTTGTCTGTTCGACTATTTCTTCCTTGACTCACTTCCAAACTCGCGACAATACTCATGTTCACCAGAGCCTTCCACTTGCTTGCACAGATCTTGGTAATTTGCTGAATGCCCAGTAGGTCCTGAAACGACGTGCCATTACAAGACCAAAAGCGCTCCTCGGCACGCCGTCTCAGCCATTTCTCACACTTCAACAAATCTAACCTAGCAACGAACGTTGAGACAGTTTGTCCTAGCTTGCTTATCCTTCACGCACCCTCCCTTGCCATCATCAGTGAACCAGGGACCACCAGTGCAATCCCGTCGATCATAAAACTCAACGACAATACTATTTGTATAGCGGAGATCAAAGCCGCCAATGGAAGGCGAGAGAGGCACTTGATTCCTTCCACAGGCTAACGTGCGGCCACCGACAGGAGTTCCGCCACACCATTCGTTGCGGTAGTAGTACACGTCGACCGCCGAGGAGACAGCCACAAGGCAGAGGAATGCGAGGCTCTTCATTTCATGTGTGTGTGCGTCTTTCTCTTTGTTCAAGAATGAACTCTTCAACAAGGGCCGCAAGAGAAAATTAGGGCTGTCAAATTTCAACATGTAGTCTCAAAGTTCAAGGCATGCAACATGTACGCTTTATATACCATTTGCTGACCGCATATTCACGAGGATATAAAGTGCTGTTTGAGCTGTTACCTACACCAACCCATTGCTACTAACACTGCCCGAGGGGGGGGAAAAAAGCACTTCTTCCCAAATACGATGATACGAGCTATGCCCGCACAGAAGCAATACAGTTGGGGCATCCAATCGAATCAATGCCGAGAGGAGGGGAAATGCAGCGTGCAGTAATGTAATGTGAGCTTGGTCTGTAGGCGTGTCGGCCTCTGCCAGTCACGCGGGCTGCATAGTAAGACGGGTGGAATTCGCCCCGACAACTTGTACAGTGTTTTGTATGTGTAGAGAGGGATTGGAAGGGGTATTATTTATATTGACAAGCTCCCTGGCCACATGGAAACTTGGACTCGAGATTTTGCATCAGGGTCCCTTGGGACTATCATCACGGCTAGCCACCCGGTTACGGATTCCCCGGCCCGGAGGCTGCTGGGTGGTTTGCCGGACCTCCACGACGGATATGGTTGCAGATACGATGAAACATATATATCATGGCGAGGAAGAACTCAACATGTTAAAACTATACGCAACCCAATACGAGCACAGCTTAGCCGCCCGGTGACCAGCTGAAACCCCAGAGGGTAGCATTGCAACCCTGCCGACACCAACGTGGAAATGGTTGGAAATTGAGCCTAGCGGAACAAGTCGAGCATCCAGTCCCGTAAAAGTCGTTCGAGAGGGTTCGGGTTCGGGTTTGGGTTCACTGACCACATGGAGACCACAAAGAATTTCAACGGCTCACGTCTTTGCACGCAAGCTGAGTTGTCATGACGACGCTATTTCAAGGCACATCATTCGTTATTAGATAGATACCACATTATGTCTCTAATTGAACCACCTAGAAAACTCCCTTAAGCCCGATTCCTTTCCCATCCCATCATGTGGTCGGACATATCGCTCATCCATTTCAATTCCAAAATTTCCCAATATTGCACAATAAAGGAAGGCATGAAGCTCAAATAACGCCATAAAGCGCAGTCCAAAAGCCCACCACGTACCTCCAGGTAATCGACGCCTAGCAAGAGTGATCCAAACGCCTTGTCCCAAACTGTAACAACGAGTTCAGTTATGATACTCGAGCCCGTCCCCACAAGTAATATACACCTCAATGCCCCCTACCAATTATGTGTCGATATGAAAGATAAAACAGGTCTGCTTTTTTGCAAAGTGTCGCCAAATAGTTCGTCAAGTATAATAGACTGACATCGTCAATTAGAGATTCCCCGTGCCCTCCCAGTGCCACTTTCCCATTCTTTCAGAGTAGTGATGCGTCATAACTTCATAGTGTTCTATATCTCGCTCTTCTTCACCTCTAAGCGGATGTAACAGTAATTTCCGATGCTGCCGAAACTGGCGTTTTAGCTGTCCGGTTTTCTGCATTCTTTTCGACTTCCAATTCTACTTCTTTCGCAATCTTCTTGGGCGTGTCTTCTTCCGTTGAGTATTCGACCACGGACAATGGTCGTTCAGAATTGGGAGTGGTCAAAGACGACTGGTCAATACTCCAACGATCCTCCGTCATACCAGTGTAAATAGAAGAAGTGTGTTTCTTGCTTGTAGTCGAGTCCGAATTGTCTATGGGTGTTTTGATGGACTCATCATCCTCCGTCGCGCGCTCCTCAGCGGAGCCATAATCTGACTCGGCCTCCTCGAGCCTGGAGGTCAAGTCCTCGGCGTCTGTGTCTGCAGGTAACGGAACATTTTCTGGGATGGTGGATTTATTAGGGACAATTTTCTCGACCGACTTCACAGTGTCGCTATGCTTGGCTTCTTCATCCGTATCATCAACGGGAAGATTGCCCGGCATGACGGCCTCGTTGGTGGATGGCGAGGCCTTACTAGCCTCATCCGCTTGGAGTTTGTCCGCCAGTGTCTCCCCTAGTAAGACATCGTCGACGTTATTGCCGTGAGTTTGACCGAGATCGGCCGACTTGTTAGATACTATAACGTGTGTCGGACTTTGTTGGGTTTGATCATTTTGGATATCTTCCTCGCCACGCAAGTCAGCTTCGCTGAACGCCTGGCGCAGAGGGCTCAGAGTTGTGCCACTTTCAGTGCAGTTGTCGCCTTTCATCGATCTAGAGTTTCTCGCTGGGCTCCTTGTGGGCAGTGGAGGAGGAACTCGCTTGGGAATCGTGACCACGCTGCCCTTTGCCTGGATCATTCGCGAGGCCACCGCCCTGGTCCTGGTAGGTTGCACCTGGGCAACCTCAAATACAACGGGCTCTTCATCGGAGTCATCCAAATCATCCTCGTCATCGGCATCGTTGGTGTCGTATTCTAGTTCGTCCTCGTCGTCCTGCATCTGATGAGTCTCCTCCTCCTTGATTGAGGCCCCGGTTGGCTGCTCAGTGTCTCGACTGCTGCGAGACGACGGGACAGAAGCCCGAAGCCTGTTCCTGGGGGGAATCGCCGGCTCTTCAGCAGGAAGGGAAAGGTCAATTGAGTGTTCCTGGCTGAGGTGTCTCAATGGTGTGAAATCGACAGCGGTGTAGTCGACTTCATCATCCTCCTTAACCTCCGGGATGCGGTCAATAGAGACACCTTCGTGGCCATCTTCGCTTTGGCCTGGGCTCGGTGTAGTTTCTGCTGTTGCACCACCAGTTTGTGTTCCCGCATCCGTCATCTGACTCTTAACGGTGCGAGAAGACAATACGCTGGCTCGGTTGCTCTTGCTTACAAAGGTTTCGATGCTCTGTCGTCCGAACTTGGAAAGGGTTGGGCTGCGAGTGTTGGAGTTGATTTCAAATTGGTTGCTCGCCGGTCGTAGACGGGTGCCAGCCTCGCGAATCTCGAGACCAGCCATTTCCAAAGCAAGGACGCCAAACGGATCGGGATCATCGGGTTTGGGGCGTCCAAAAACCGATCGTGGAGACGCTGGTGTAGACTTGGGGGTAGCAATGACCGCGTCGCCAGGGGCGGGCTCGATAGCAGTTTGTTCGATAATTGCCTTGTCGTAGTCAGTCCGGCCTTCAGCCATCTTGATGACTTCGAACAATGGCCTAGTTTCCTCAACATGGCGCGCAACATTGCCGGCGAGAATATCCATTTGGGTCACGTCGACGCCGTAGAAACGCTCGTTCTCGTTGCCTCGCTCCGTGAGAATGCAGCCCTGCAAATTGACGGCTTGGTGTTGGCCGCGGGCTTTCATGTACGCTAAAACTGTATTATCAAGATCCTTCCAGTTAAAGTTGGTATGGTCGGCGTCCATGGTAACTGAGGGTCCGTTGTTCAATGTCACGTCCTCACCAAGAGTGACGCGGGGCCGAGTGATTGACTCCAAAGCGGAGAGATTGGTTACAACAAGGACACAATCGTAAACATCGACACCTATTATGAAGCTGAGCGTCGGCGTATGAAGCATAATACCTGAAGGCGGCGACCATGTCCCATCGGATTTCCTGGCAATGAGAATGCCGGAGCCACCGGACCCCGTCATCCACAGGCCGCTCCTCATACATGTGAAGACGGCGATGCCTGCGGCGTTTTGTATTATGCGCCTGGGTATCTTTTTGGTGATTTGGAGAGGGGACTGAGGGCCCGAGACTGAGGTACGCGCTGAGGTGTCGCCGTCTATCGGAGCAAGATAACCATCGACTATTCATTGTCGCCGCCATGTTAGTAACTTGCGTAGAGGACCATCGATAGCAAGGCAAGGAAAAGACAGTTGAATAGAGACGAGAAGCACCCGGATTCAAACGCACCACAAAAGGACTTTAAAATGCGGGCTGCCTTGAGGCACTCCATGTCTAGTGTTGAAGGCCAGAAGGCCTCGCGTTGGACCCTGCCGCCATGGCCAGTGGCATTGGCATTAGCAGCGGCAACATTAATCTGGGCAAGAGACTTGGCGACCGAGGAATTAGAGGCTTTATTAGAATTGCTATTGCGGCCGGCCCAGCCAAAAATCCCGCCTGGTTTCAGGGTAGTAGAGGCAGCAGCAGAGCCGGAGGTCGAGTTTCGTTTGTCCCATGAGGGCAGAAGCGATGACATGCGCTGCATATTGGGCGGGAAGGGCAAGGCCGCCTCTCTGTCGTCACCGTCGTCGCTCAGGCGATGACCCGACAGAGAGGAAGAAGTCGAGAGTCGGAAGAGGGGCCCAGCAAAGCAGCCTGGCGTGCAGAGATGCCGCCCAAGTCGACGATGGGGGGGGGAGGAGGAGGTCGACGATGAGCAGGAAGGACGTCGAGATAAACCAGAGCCAGAAAGCAAGTATTGAGTATTGCGCTGGCAGAGGAGCACTTGGGCACTTTACATGGAGAACCCATGACCCAGGCGCGCAGGTACTCCGTACTCAGTCTTTGATACGCGGGTACATGCAAGGACGTGGTAGCGGGAGAGACCAGCACTGAGTCTGATTCAAACTGGCTCAAGGGTTGACTGGCATCTGGAGCCATGACTGGACATCGCTGAGGCGGCGCTGGGGGCACTGTGGGCGCTGGGCATATCCACTGAGCGTCGCCACGCACGCTCAAGCATTTTGACCTGCGGCTTCTCGCATCGATGGATCGCTGTGGGCCCCCAAGCTTCTAAGTTTGAACATCGTAATTGCAAGGGCATGCCTGGCGCGTTTACGGTCGCACAGAATGTACAGCCATCGCATGTCAGCGCGTCATTCAAGGGTCTGGCCAGTTCGGATCGCTATTTCAGGGACATTGCTCCGTTGCGCAGCCCTGGCCTAAATGAGCTAGTAGGAGAATCCGGTCAGCTTTTTTTTTTTTTTTTTTCCCCTTCTTCCACAAATATGATTACAATGCGCGCAGTTCACCGACTCGCCGGCACTCGGCCACCTCCTGTCGGCAAGCGGCATCGAGCCTATGTATGTGCTGACCCCTAGTCACGAGGTATTTACTATCAATTTTTGCCTCGCCCAAACTGTCCGAGGGACAGGCGTCAGCCAGCATGCGGCCATCGGGCTTGGAGGCCCGGGTTTCAACACCCGAAACTGCAAGCGCATGCTTTTGGCACTCGACCAAGAGCGAGGCCAGCAACTACCAGCACACACACACAACACAACACAGTTGAGTGCAGCACATGCAGCCAGTTCGGAAATGTCAGGGGTGTGCCACAGGTGACGTTGGCTCGAGTGTGGTGGCACCAGCCAATTGCTCCAGGGCGATCTGTGCAACGCAGGGGGCTATCCTTGCACTCTAGCGCTTGGCCCTTGGCGCGCCTCCGCATATTTTGTGTATTTAATGTTAACAGTATAGACTGCGACGCGCAGTCTGCGGCAAAACAGGTTTATCCGCCGGCAAGTATACACTTACATACTATAATATCTTATAATATCAAGCACGATAGTTGGATACATGACCTGGTTAAACACTTGTGCCTCCCACTGTACCTGCTTACAAGTTCTTGGTATGTGGTGGTGCTTAATCAGGTTAACATTGAAGGTGTCAGTGTTTCGTTTCAGTGGCAGTCAGTGGTAGCGGGCGTAGTGGGCGCAGTGGGACCCAGCAACCGTCCTAACATCAATTCGTGTCGACCAGGGTAGTCGAGCGCGACTTGCGACTTCGTATCGCCCAGCCAGTACCCAGGTACTCGGTGCTGCTGGAAATGCGCCGTACAAGGCAAGGTATATGGGTACCTCGGCACCCATAAGGACTCGAGTGACCCCGTACTTGCCTCGTTGTTTCGACTTCGATTGTGCCGCGCCTTCCTGGTCACTCATTGATTTCAAATGTTGCCCCGTGGTCAATTCCACGCCAGTACTGAGCACTTGAGACTTCAGATGGCGTCTTTGACCTACCTAAGTACCTAGGTACTCGGCTTGCATCGTTAAACCAGGCATGTATCGTTGATTCAACCCACATCATGGCGATTGCTCTTGTTTCCGTCTTCCGTCTTGCGTGACATTTTCTATTTGCCTCGCTCCTTGCTCTTCAGTTATCATGGCCAGCTTGCTTTTTCCACATCGCCTGCTCTAGGCCCATCCAGTTCAAATGACAGGATCTGGTGGACACCGACCCTCCCACGAGTCGAACCTTGAAAGATGGAGTCCCCTTCGTTCTACGCACCCAAGCTCCCTGCATCGGATAGCAGTAGTAGTATTATAGACAAACTGAATACTATGTATTGACTACTGGAGTACAAGTGCTCCGTAATTACTGAGGACATGCTTACTATCCGGTATTATGCAGGTGACCCGGTCCCAGCTCTCGCAATACAATTCAATTGGGTGCCACGGCCGTGGAACGAATGTGGAAGCAAGCGTAGCCCAAGAACGACACAACGAAAACACACAAGTCAACCGATCCGTCTTCCGTCTTCCAGGTGCAGCAACTGAGACCTTGCGAAGTTACAGGTTTCGGAGGGGACTCAGACATGGCTTCCTATTTCTCCGCATCTGCCTACTAGCTCAACATCAAACGCTCTCCCACCACCAGGCTCCAAAAGCGTCTGCCGATCGGCCAACGCACATGTGTACTACTCCATGTAAGTTCGTACGGGAACGATAAAGCACCGAGTGTCGTGCATTCTTTTGTCAGTGTGAAGGCATGTCATGGCCGCACGGTTCCCGGGCTACGTGAGCATGCATCACAGTGCAACTGAGCATTCTTCCTCTGATAAAACACATTACTGACAAGAATCAAACTCGGATGGATCGTCAGAAACACAAGGGGACTGCCAATATCACTCTAGCCATCTGCCCATTCATGTCATGACAGGCACACGAAATGGGTGGCTTTTCCCCCTTTGTTCGGAATTCTAGCTCCCGTGCAATGCCGCCCGGTTGTTAGTATCACGAAAGGACCCTGGCGCAACCAAACGTCATGTGCCAAGTCGATTGTCGGGCCGTGTCTAGGCCCTGGAATGCATTCACATCTCGCCGTTGTTTGATAACCCACAGGCATATGCGCCCTTACCTTGAAGCTATTCTCGCGCGCGCCCCTGTCCTGTCGGCAACTCATGTTACGCTGTTGCCTGTTTGTTGAATGTTGAACGAATTGGCGATACCTGATACATATGAGGCTCACACAAGAGAGAATAGAAGCTGCAGAACATAGGGACCTACTTGGGTTGGTACACTGTAGGTAGTAGTATGTACTTGTATTTATTGACTAAAGTAATTTATTTCGGGGTGGTAGGGGTCCCGCTACAGGGCCCCCGGGGTAATTGCTGCCCCCATGCCGCAACGGCAAATTTTGCATGCCAGCCGAGTAACTACCCAGGTACTCGTAGAGATGCCAAACTACTACCTACTAGGGAAGTAGGTGCCAGGTACTACCTGGTGAGGTATGCATCTGCATATGAACTCGACTATTTACTATTATGCTTGCTCTGTCTATTCTGCAAGAGATGGAATAGAGTTTGTCTATTACACGGACGCGACGGACGCGACGGACACCATGATGACTACCTACCAAGTACCTACCTAGGCAGTAGTGAGCTATCGCACAATGGCTGCGAATCCCAAAGTCGTGCAACATTCCGCCCGTATTTGAGCAGCAAGGCGATTCGTCATGGTAAGAGGAATGTAGCCAGAAATATCAACAGTTGCATACCAATAACACTACTGATGCACAGGACCAATGCTTGATTTGCGTTTTGAGCGCATGATCAACACTGCAGTACTAGTATTCCGTGCTCCTGAATAGACCCTCCATGTCTGCATACTTACACATGGCTGCTACAGTGGCAGACGAAAAGTATCTGACCACAGCAGGTACCTGGCTATCGCGCTCCATAACTGTAATATACTGCAGCATATTAGTGTATACTTGTCGGTGGGCAAATATATTCGGCCACAGACTGCACATGTCATAAATAGCGTTTTGCACTCAACAGCGATAAATTGAACTGCCAGTTCCAGAGGCATTGTTCTACAGAACGCAGCTGATGCTACGCGAAGGCGTTGAATTTAACTTTGCCATCTAGTAGTTGGCGCGGTTGTAAATGACGATGCACATAGTACATACATACATGCTTCAACACACAGATGGCAGTGGCCGTGCGGCCCCTCCACCACATCAATTTTTCACAGATGCGGGAAAAGCCTCCGGACGGACAAAAGTGTGAGCTAACCAACAGCAGGACTTGTTCCGAAAACCGCAGGATTGGCGATTGGCCCCCAAAAGCCATCCATCGACGCCGACCTTGCCAGCCGACGCGATCCGTGGGCTTGGCCTTGAAGACGACGCCTGCTCTGCTGCTAACGACTTGCTCTTGAATTGCAGCCACGCAACGCCCTTGTTGCTCCAATTTCCAATCCGTGGCCATCCCTCGAGTTTCGAGACGGTACATACGACTTGCAGCTTGCGGCTTGGTTCCTGGCGAGTACATTCCAGATCGGAGCGGGAGGTGAGAATGGCCAAGGATTTTTGACGCTTGATATATCCATTCTCGAGAGATGCCGAGGTTCAAACCCCAGTGCGTGGGCTTCTTTGCTTGAGTCAAAGGAGTGGTGGCATTTGCTTCTTTTGCCGGCGCAGCATTTGCAATGGATAAGTGCTCGCTCGCAGTGTTGCTTTTCACTACAAGCTGTGTGTGATCTTGGCGATGCAAAAAAAAATTAAAAAAAAATTCACCACGCTCACGTCCTCACGCCGCAAACTAAGAATCCTTGCCGCATACGCCAGAGCATCCCCCCATCCACGACAAGATTTACAGATTCGCCTTTTGCTCCTGCAGTTCCAAATCCACCCATTCAAACATGCCGCGTGCCCTCGTTTCCTCCCCCTTGTACGTGACGACGGCATCGTACCCGCCGACAAAGCCCCTGCCCGCGCCGTCCCTCAACGGCGTATTCACCCTGCCAGCAACCTCGAGCACTTTCCTCCCCGATCCTACCACCACGCTCGCCGTGAACTTCGTCGGCATCCTCGTCTGCCTCCCCGACGAGTCCGTGACAAGCTCGTCGTCCAGGAGCTCAACACGGAGCTCCGTCGTGTACTCGTCAAGGACTCTGCCGTCCGGAACCGTCCGCACGTGGACAAACTTGCGCGGCGGCATGAACCCGTTCCGTACCTCCCCCCACAGAATCTGCCGGCTGTCTCGTAGCTCGACAACGTGGTAGATGAAGTAGTTTGTGGACCTGGCCACTGCGGCGTGTATCTCGAGCGGCAGGCCCGGGGGCGGCTTGCACCGCGCGTATTCGATACAGCCTGAAATAGGAATCGGCTCTCCGGACAGGATGGCCGTCCCGGAGATGGGGAGACTCAAGTGCTCGTAGAACGGGGTGGCTATGAACCACACCGCCTGCGGGCTCATGTCGAACTCGAGCCTGTACTCCCATCCGTGGGTCTCGAAGGCGCCCGTGACTACGGCCTTGTGAGGAAACGAAAACTCCATGCTGAAGTCTTTCCCCCAGCGCAACGGGGTCCCAGAGTCGGGAAACTCGCAGTCCGTGGAGGAGTCGTACCCGCGCACAAAATGGTGGCCCTTGGAAGCGGTGCTTGTCATGACGGTGGTGAGATGTTCTGCATCGTGGACGACTGCCTTGGGCCCGCCGGGTGCGAATTCAGCGTGGTTGAAGATGGTGAGGTCGACGAGTCCTACCAGGATGAGGACATTGAGGTATTGGTAGGGCTGTGGGAGACGCGGGATGTAGATGCCGTAATGAGTCCATCCCCATGGTCCCCCGGATGCATGGAGCGACGGGCGGATAATGTCCCATGCGTTGAAGGGCTGCGCTGTCCGGGCGGATGCCTCGTTGGGGCCAAAGGCTTTTGCCGCCATGCTACGGATGTTTCCTGTTTTTCGTCTTCTTTTCTCTCTCGAGTTTTTGGTGTAGGAAAACGGACATTGGCAGGGCCCGGTAGGTCGCCGTGTGCTGTTGGTGTTGTGTTGTGCCTGCATCATACTCATCTGTATTCCGTACATGAGTTTATATCGCGAGCATGGCCCACATCGTGCCGAGGTAGCGTCTGCCAACATGCGTGTATAAGTGCGTCCGTGACTGGTGCGGACAAGACGCAAGGCTGGTCTCGCCCGTCGGCACTGGCATATACTCCAACGCCGGTCGATGATGCGAACCCTCCGTACGGAGTCTCTCTTTGCTGTAAATCGCACCGTTGACGGGCAACGATTCACGTCCCCTCGGCCCAAAACTTCAACTCCGGCATCTCGCCCTGCCCCAGCAGATATTTCTCCATCGGTCGAGCTGGCGCCAGCCATACATCCTCTGGCACCGCTGGCCCAACTTGGATGGCGTCATGATAAAACCAGCACTTTCCGCCGCTCACGGGATCTGTAAATGCCCCCGCTACTCGGGCTTGTTCCAGCTTCGCCAGTCTCTCGGCTATAATTGCAAAGACGCCGTCCCACGTATTGGCCTCTGTATTGAGGGCCGCGCTCGGCTCTACATATACGTCCTCTACCTTGATCGATTGCCCATCGCTGTCGCTGTCAGTTCCCTCTGAACAAGATATCCCCTTCACATCTACCAGCTCCAACTTCTTCAACGTGTGACCATGTCGTGCCAGAAACACGGCTAGGTTTCGCAATCCAACTTCGGGCCCGATTACTTCCAGAACCTCGAGTTCCGAAATGTAAACCCCCTCCAGAAATGAAGTGCGTGGGCGAACTCGAACCCAGGGGAGGTACTCCAACCGCAACTCTTTCAACTTCGTCTGACGAAGGACTGCGCGCAGCCCCGCCTCCATGGACGACTCTGATTTTCGGTCCAAAACCAGGCTCAACCGCCGTAGCGCCATGAAAAAATCGAATCTAGATGGAGCCTCGGCGATGGCCAGATGCTCATCCGCGCGGCAACACGTTCCAAGCTCCGGTTCGCCGCCAGGATACAGCTCCCCATTCGGTCCCAGCATGGAGATAGGTTCCAGGCTCAGCGTGTCCAGTCCCGTTGCGGCCTTGCACAATTCTCGCATCACCGCATCCTGTATATCAAACACCTCCCTCTTAGCCATACGAATCGACACATCAGCACTGAACAACCTACACGCCTCACTATCCACATCCCACGGACACCGCGTCCACGTCAACGTTACTTCTCTCAAGGACGGCAGCGACCTGAAGGCCTCTACAGCCAAATCCAGTCGGAACTCCCCCAACGCCTTCTTCTGCCGCTGTGTCTGGAAGTACTGCTCCCACTTGTCGTGGAGAATCTCCGACCGAAGCTCCGGCTCGATTAGATAGTGGTGGCTGAAGGAGTCGTGCAGGGCCTTGTACTCATTCAGCCGGGCAAAGTTGAATGTGACGGAGCGTATTCTCCTCGCACATTCAGGAATCCGTGACAGTTGGTAGAGACGAGCGGCGTCTGGTCGCCAGAGGAGGCCGTTAAACTCTTCACAGGCAAGTAAGCTGCGTGTGCGTAGTGATATCAGGCGGCACGCGAGACGGAAAGACCTGAAGTCTTGCAGGTCGAGATGGCTGGCAATGGAGCTGAGGAGCTCGACGGGGAGGTGATCAAGGAGAGTGTGACGGCTGGCGTTCATGGCTGATGGTACGCTCGTCTGGCTTGTGGACAGCCTGCTCCAAAAGACACAAGGCAATGGCAGTGTCAACAAAAGAATAATGGCGAAAAATTAAGATTTAAAAAAACCATCCCCCTCCGGTAATCTTCTCGCGACCCCAGTACAGAAGAAACAGCCAGTCCGGGACGAAACCTCAAAGCTGAGAAGTCAAACACAACTGCGTGCTCCACCTTGCCGCAGAATCGGGGCGCCGCGACTTCTCCCGGAGTACTTAAAGGCAGCGCAATTATCCGCTACTGTGTGTGTACAACGTCCCCCAGCTCCGTACTGACGGAGTACATAGTACTTTATGTACTAGTACTACAAGCTTTGGTTGCAACCTCGAAAGACCCACCTCCGCAGCGCCAGCTCTAAACCTATCGTCAACCTCATCCCGACTCAAATTTCACATCCCGCTCGAGTCCTGGTGCTCGAACCGCCCCCGCTGCACACCGCGATCATCGTCTCGCTTCAACTTCTCGTGTACGGTCAATGATTCGCATCCGCTCCTCGCTTTTGACTACACCCTCCCTCCATCGCTAACGACCACCAGCGCCGCAGGACCATGTATTGACGCCCCCTCTCCCCTTCCCGTCACCAACCGCGCGTTGCATTCCATCTCATCCAACAACAATGCTCAAGTACGTCAACGATGCCGAGCCACTGATGGCCGCATTCACCCGCCACAACTACATCCCATCTAGCTAGCATAAGCAAGCATGGGCGACTAACCCCGACGCAGAGCATACAAGAACCTGTCGCCGAAAACGCGAGCTGGTGTTGGTATCGGCCTCATCGCCTGGAGCTTCGCGGGTCTCTATCTCTCTGACCAGGCCGAAGAAAAGTTTGGGTACAGGCCATCGGAAAAGGATAAGGAGGAGCTGTGGAGGTGGGCACCCAAAGTGACAACTGTTGATAAGTCAGATACTAGCAAGTAATATCTAGACGGCATTGCACATTCAAGGCGCGTGGTTGGGCACACATGTCGGAACAAGACAAATGCGAGCACATTGAAATCATTCCTTGTTCACATCCCATTGGTAATAATAGGCCAAAAATATCGTCACAACCCGTGATCATTTCATCTTTCTACCATATAAACGTATTGCGATAAGCAAAACAAGCACTAATTTTCTACATCCGAACCGCCCTTCGTGCAACCTGTCACCATACCAGCGCATATTACCGGACATAGCGCAGCGAAAACATCATTGATCAGTCCAGGCCATAAAAGTCGTCATAGCCCGCCGTAAACCACAAAGCCGACCGACCGCCCTTTCTATCTTGATCGAAGTCTAGTAATGCAGTAACAACTCCCGTACCTCAGTCTATCCTTGGCGTAAAGCGAGAAAGAAAGAAAAAAATAACAAGAAAAGATGCAATTTGCAGAGCCGGGTGCCGCCAGTGGAATTGATGCCCAAAGGCAGGCCAGGCGTACAAGCATGTACATATGAGGCCATCAGGCCGACGCAAACCCAGGCGTCGATATCCCCACTCAAAGGGTAGGAAGAAATCCCATGAACAAGAAACCAGAAACCATGAAATGAAGAAATGGGGGAAAAACAATAGAATTCAACGCCTCCAAATGCAACCACCACCCTGAAATGCTTTTAGTTTGAGTCATATCATACCGTCTCCTGTCACAATTTGTTTTGTGCATAGGATTCAGTTGTCGACGTCAAGCCCATCCAGAATTGTCTGACTCATGGTGGGGGTAATGGTCTGAATATTCGCGCCAAATCCAAAATATACTCTTCTTCGCCAAACTGTGTAATGGCTTCCTGTACTTCATCCGGCTGTTGTGAAGGGGATGCGCCGACACACTTCAATGCTTTGTATGATGCCACGTATTGGTCCTCATCGTCCTGCTCCAAATCGGCAAATCCAGGGTTCAACAAGATATGTCGAGATATGACAGGCAAGAACATGCCTTCCCGAGAAACCCGGGTGCCATTTTCGCAGAGAGCTGTTTGAGTTGCTTCATCATCATTCCAGCTTTTCTGTAGTTTATCTAGCGCGGACAAAAGCATGACAAATGTGCGAGTATCCATGCCGTGGTGAGCTTCATCAGAGATTGCCGGGTCTATTGGCTGACTTGAACCATCGTATGGTACGATCCAATCAAGAGAAGGAAGCCCGTCCCCAGTATGGAGGTAGTTCAGACTGCCAACCTTTTGCGAGAGTCGAATTATAGCAATCATGATTACTCCCAATATCGTTTTGCCGAGGGAATTCGTACTTCCCAATTTCATTTGCCAGCCATCATCAAGTAAAACTTGACGAACCAAGTGCAACTCGGGTTGTGCAGATCGACGAGTCCCATGTGAATTAACTGATTGGGCTATTTCGTCCCCATTCAACCCGAGAGCCGAAGCGCAGTTGTCAGCGGTAGAAGCATTCCAGGCTGCGTCGTCACAAGGTAGAGGCAAATGAACCTCGGATGGATCAAATTGAGCATGGACGTTGAAGAAAAGTTCGAGAAAAGCATCTAGCATAAAAATAGCATGCATCAGTCGAATGCGCAGCTCTTGTTCTGTCCAGGCTATCCAGTCAAATTGATCGGACTTCAAGTCGTATTGACCATCAACCTCGGGATGATGTAGCACAGAGAAAATAGATAGGTCACCAGAGACGCCTAGCAAACCCAGGCGACGAGACTGCGCAGCTATCATGGGAATTATCTGTAGAGCTCGATGCCTCTGCTGCGAGGTCCCGTTGCCAAAATGAAGTATACTGGTCAGTAGCGCTGCCTGAAGCTCTTCAATAGACGACTTGGTGACCTCAGCAACACCTGCATCATGCAGACTTTCCTCGGAGAAAATTCGACAGTCACGCTCCATAGCGGTCCATAACGCGTCCATCATTTCTTGCACATCTGAGAGCACAACCCGGTTTGAGTAGCATGCGCCAATGCAGCACATGCACGCCGCCAGTCCGGGATGTGCCTCCATGACTCGAAAGGTGCCCGGATGAAGTATAGGAACATGCTCGTGGAAGTGAGTGTACTGGTCGACAAAATCTTTAGTATTATCAGGGGAGAAGTAGAGGTTCATGCCCGTGAGGGTTGGGTCAATCGCCTCGTTTGGGGGATACAGGAAGTTGAGTATTTGGCTAGAGAGTTGAGAATAAGGGTTTTGAATATTCGTCGGTATGCCCCACATAGAGTAGCAGACGGAATCGCTGGAGCTGCTATCCGTCGCCCCCGAATCGTGATTAGGCCCGGTTTTGGGTGCGATCTGCGTCTGTCCACGATTAGGAGGATGAAATATATTGTTGTTGAGGGGTTGATGCGCACCAGCCTGGAACATCTGAGACCAATCGAGGCCAGATTGTTGGTTCCCGTTAGATCCACCATACATGGGCATTCCGTTCTGACCCGGGGGCATACTGTAGCTAGGCATCTGCTGGTTGTTCATGGAGTTAGACACATTAGCACCATAGGGCTGCGGGGCTCCCATGCTGGGGGCCATGTTATTCCGGTCCTGGTTGGCGCTGCTGGAACGAGAGAGATGGCTCTGGTCACCAGCCATGTTATTCATGCCGTCAGAGACGGGAACCATGCCAAAGGGATGAACCATGCCCTCAGCAGGCATGTTGTTCAAGCCATTGAGGTGGTTCAAGTCGGCCTCGTTGCCGAGGCCAACGGCCTTTTGAGCCTGAGCATTCTTTTTAACGTGAGCCTGAGGGTGGGACAGGTGGCTAGCTCCTGTGGGGTTTCCACGGCGAATGGAGCACTTTTGGAAGTGGCGCTTCAAAATGTCACTTCGAGAAAACGTATCACGGCAAAGCACGCACATGTAGGGGCGATCACCAGTATCTAGATACTCAAGTGGTTAGCATGCGCAAGTTGCGCGAAGAGAAACAGTACAGGGGAACAGTGCCACTTGTCTCTTGGGGGGTTTCGAGGCGGGATTGGACTTACGGCGAAGAAGGTGGCGCTTTAAATGCTTTGCATGGAGGTATGTCTTGGTGCAGTGAGGGCAAGGGAACTTGCCGTCCGCGTCCTTGACGGGAATAACGGTGCTCTTCGCACCAGTACCGGCAGTAGGAGCTGCAGGACGACCCGGGGCGCTAGGCAAGATTCCACGGCGACCCTGAGATCCGACAACATGAGTAGGCTGTTCTCCGTCGTGCATGACCGGGTTGGGCTGCATCATCGATCCAGGGCCATAGGGAGACGAGATACCGGGCTGGGCCATAATACCACCGGGTGGCATAGGACGAAGGACTGGAGGTGCACGTCCACCAACGGGGGCGGGAGCAATGGGCTGCGGGTGAGACGCGGCTGTGGTGGTCTGGGGCATCATGGGCGCAGAGGTGCCATATCCTGGGTTAGGAGGATAAGGATTCTGCGTCATTGAGTAGATGCCAGGTCGCTGGGCCGCCTGCGATGTCTGCTGGTAGGGAGGCACATTCGTGGCCGAGTTTGGCGTGTTGGGAGTGCCCGGCGTGCGCGGGGTATGCGGGTGAGAACCGTAGAGAGGCTGCATGGCCGCGGTTGGAGGCTGCAAAGGCGGCAGAGTCTGAGGAAGTGGTGATCCGGTCTGAAGTTGGTTCGGAGAGATCGCGGTGGGAGAAGGATACGTCTGTGCCGCTGAGGTCCCGTTTATACCATGAGTCGGATAGGGAGAACCGTCCATACTCCAGCGCGAGACGCGTCTCTAGACGTGGGTGGGTGATATGAAGGCACGTCGATGTTGACGAGACGTGAGGAAGAATAGGGTTTGGTGATGATTGAGGCAAACGACGACAGCCGAAAGGACCTCAAGTGGAGAGATAGATTCGAAAAGAGAGATCCGAATCTAGATGGAGAGAGATCGAGGTGGGAGAACACAGTCTGCGAGGCCCACGCGAAGATGGCAGTAGGCAAAACGGCGTCGTTCCGTTGAGGTGGATGAGGCTCGAGAAGCAAGTCCCTCTTGAGAGGTGTGGTGTGTTTGGGGGAGGGTTCAGAGTGGAGATATGGGTCTTGATCCTTTTTT